AGCGCCTGGATCTATGCTGAATGGCTGCTGCTCTCTGAACCAAAAAGAAAGAAAGGTTTGTAGATACACAATTGCTTTCTTAAATAGTTCCTCTATAAGGAATTCACCTGTTTTGTCACTATTTTAGAAAATTCGTGAAATGATGTTGAATTTAGTGCCGAATTTGGTTCAGGATTTTTGGAAACACTGTAATTTTCATGGAAACTGCCGCAGAATTAGCTAGCACAGCTTTTTTGCTGTTGAAAAGTGTGGAAGAATTCTCGACACAGAGTTGGTAAAGTGTAAAAAGCAATGATGCCTTTGTACATTTCTTGTACATTTTATATTCCATTATATTACATTTCATATACACTATATATTCGCATGTGAGCAGGGGACATGCCCACAAAATTTCAGCCTTCTAGCTCCCGTGGTTCCCGTGATAATAATTTTACCGGCCAAAACTTTTACTGGGCTGTACTTGTTACCTGCGGGCAAGGGAAGGCTGAATTTAAATTTACGGGATTGGTCATTTTTGCCTTTAGGGGTGAAGAATGGGCGCAAAAAAAAGGCGATATCAACTGGTCAGCATCAATTGATGCAGCTTTGTCTTGGTTTTTCGCTTATCACTTGACAGTTTTTCCGGTTCCTCTGTTACCATTGCTCTGTCCTCCTCTTATGGTGATTTTGCTGGCGATCCGAACGTTCGTTTCCTCTGCCGAAGATTCACTGATTTCATGTATTACGAAAGAATTACTAGCACTGAATTTATTCCTAAATATCTACTGTTTGTAACTGTAAATTTCAATTTCAGGTGGTCTGAGTGATGTTTGTGTGCTGGGATTAGTTTTCGATATCAACCATGATGAAAGTGATGGATCTTCTGATAGCTTTCTAACAGTCACTTTTAATAGTGCCCTGAAAATTGCCAATATAAATGATTTTTTGATCCTTACATTAAAAAATGGTCAACGTTGGACGCCCACAGCGGTAGCTGTTTTAATTTCCCTTACATCGAATAATTTTAAATTTTCAAGTAAATTTTCAAATAATTATCATACTTATATCGGTTTTCTTAACAGCGATTTTGCCATAAAAATTTTGTTCACCAGCACATTTGGTCTGTGAATTTTCCCGATTTTTGTCATTTTACTAAGAACAGGAATGGCGCAATTAACAACCGGTGTTAATCCCATACTGCAGGATGAGGATTTGAGTTGGCCAGTGCCTTTTATAATTCGATCATTAGCTAACCCAAAGTAAACTCGGGAAACAAACTCGTCATCAATAATGATTGTTCTAGATCCAGTGAAGCAGTAAAATAGAAGAGTTGGTCTTAAGTGTCATGTGCCGGAAGATATTTTACGATGTAGTCTGTGTTTCATCCCTTAGCTGTAAACAGACACACACCGAACAATGCATGTGGGTAGGAGCGGAATCCTTTTATATTAACTGCTTTTAAAATGACCGTAGAAAAATCCTGAAATGGAAGGCATAGAGTGGATAGTTATTGTTGACACATGCTATTATTCAAATTCCGCCAGTCTGCTTGTTTGCGAGTAAATCTCGAAACAGGAAACCGCCGTGGTTGCTTTTTGCATAGTTGCTACCATTCGAGTCATGCTTCCCGAGTGCCTGCACCTCTTGTAGAGCGCGAATATGGAAAAGTTTTAAAAATTTGACTCTTTG